CTGACCTTCTTGGTCCAAACCAAATGATGAAGATTAAAAAAAAAAAAATCAACTTTTCAAACTTCCATCTGTAAACGACTACAGCGTCACAGACATCGAACCTTTTTTTTTTCTTATCGTCGTCTCGAATCGCGGTACAGTCAACACCGTATCGTGTTCGTTGTGAATCGTTTATTTCATTTTTTTATTGATCGATCAAAGCAGATCATGTTAGAAATAACACGTCACACAGACTCGTGTTCTGTTTTTTTGGTCTGTTGTCGGTGGCTGCACCTCTCCGCTACAGCCACATGGTGGAGCTCTTCAGACACCGACGCAGAGGAACGGAGTCAGAGAGTGGAAACAGACGGACGGAACAAGCGGTTTACTCCGTTCAACTGACCCGTGATCACGGACGGTCTGTGAGCTGAGTCACTGACGCGGCGGGGGTAGAAAAAAAACTGCAGTTGCGCTGGTTTATTTTCTGAAAACAAACAAAACAAAACAAAACCAAACAAACAAAGGTACAAAGGAAGTGAATCAAAAGGCTTCGATGGCTCGGGTCCAGCTGCCGTACGTCAACCCCGAGTGTCGTAAACTGATGCTTTGAACGGTCCGTATCTGCTCCAGGTCCGTCTGCTGCCAACTGACAAACTCGGAGAGTCCGCTGGAGCCCAGCACCGACATCAAGTGGGAGACGTCGGTGCCGTCCAAGTGTTCGCAGCCCTCCTCGGTCCGCGGCCTCTTACGCGGCACCGACCCGAAGTCCGACGGCTCACCGACGGGCTCACTCGCGTCCGTCCTGCGCTTCTTGCCGCCCCGTCCGTGCGCGCAACAGTCCGGGAGGAAGTGGCCGGCGGTGACCGTGGTCACGACGTGCGTGTCCAGGTCCAGGACGGTCTTCTGGTTGCTCTGCGTGTTCGAGTCCCACCAGAGGACGCCCGGCACCGTGAGCTCGGAGTCGGCCCCGGGGGGGGCTTGTTGCTCCTCTGGCGCCTGCTGCTGCTGCTGGTGCTGCCAAGTGTCCGACTCCAGCCCGGGAAAGTTGTACAAGTCGTGGGCCAACTCCGTCAAGCTGCCGCTCAGTCCCGCGGTCGCATCCTCGCGCGGACGCGGCGTCTGCGGCGGCGTCTGCGACAAGTTCCCGCTGACGTACAGCTGCCGGGCGCTCCTCAGCACGTAGGTCACCAGCAAGTTCTTGTGGAGCTTGATGCCTCCTCGCTGCGTCCTGGAGCTCTGGATCTTCCTCAGAGAAATGGAGATCAGGTTCTGCGCGTCCAGTGAACTCTCCATCCTCGCCCGGGCCGCGACCCCGACCCCGCCGCCGGTCGGTTCCCTGAGCGGACAGATACCGACGTCTTCAGCGGAGGTTCCCTCCAGGTCCGTGTAGACCGCGTCCATGGCGCTCCATGTCTTTCCCAGTAGGGGCATGGGACTCTGGGAACTCTCCTCTCTCCCGGCCACGCCCCTCGCGGAGGTATCGTCCAATGGGAGGGAGGCGGTGCTTCAGTTATATATGTAAATATCACCACGAGCCTGGAGTCACGGCGGTCAAACCTGTCAACCTCGGCCGGGCTTTGACATCTTAGTGCGGGGCCAAAAAGGAGCGGAGCGGTACGGTACGGTACGGTACGATACGGTACGGTACGATACGGACCGGAACGGTACGGCAACAACGGAAGGAAAAAGAGAAAATACTGCATATAAGTACTCGAAGTAGTAAAATGAAAAAAAACCCAGTTCCTTCAGTGGAGTCTGTAGTTTGAAGCACAGACAGGTCTGTGATCCGTCACGTCAACAGACAGCATGTTCCTCCGTGTCTGTGTTGGATGTTTTTTTTTAATTTTAAAATATTCACTACTGTACTGTAGTAAACTGTCTGTAAACTGAAAAGATGAAGTACAAATACCTAAGGAAGAGGTTTTCAACACGCGGTCCGCAGCCCCCCAGGAGGTCCGTGAGGATCCTACAGAAGGGTCCGGAGAGTTGTTTATATTTGTGTGTTGCCCTCCGTACTCCAGGGGTCAGTAATGGTCAGGCTGCTAACTGCTAACCCCAACCTCCAGGAGGCGCAGATTTCACTGATTTTAATGAGATTCCTTTGTTTAACATGCAAGGGGGCGCTGTGGAACAGGTCTGAGAACCAGAAATACAGATAAAGTCTGTACCAGGACTGTCGTAGCTAACGTTAGCTCTGGTGTCTGTACCAGGACTGACCCTGATTCAAACACTTAGATCTAAATACAGTACCGATTGTTAAAACCGCTTGTTACCGAGTTGGAAACCGGACGTTCTCCAGGCGTCACCTGGTTTTCACACGCTGTCTTTACAGTCGGCCTTGGAACCAACAACCTTCTGTTCACGTGTTGGACATAATATCACAGTTTTAAAAATACCCTAGTACAACAGTACTCGGGTATTTGGAGCAGAGTCGTGTATTTTCCCCTGGTGAGATTTTACACCTAATTACTTTAAGACCATAAATAGAAAAGCTAACAGTCCTCGG